TGTACCATATGTATAGAAAATGAAGTTATTGGAATCAGTTGACGCGAGTTTGCTTATAATTGCGAAGGTGATACAACATATTGATATACGCTGAGAAAAGAATATTTTTTAAACAGGCTTTAAGATCACGTTTCAAGGATGTAGATATGTCTCTACACAAGAATTTAAGTGGATGAGTGAAAGAGACAGGGAAAACAGAGAAAAGTGAAATGTGTGCGTGCTGCAATAAATGCTTGCGGAAAATGTGTACACGACTAGATAAAAGTTGGCGGTTGAGTTCCGAATTCAAAGTTGAGAGGCACAGAGTTTCTGGGAGAATCGAGAGCAAGAGCTTTTGAGTGTGAATTCAATGGAGAGTTTAACAGAACGAGAATGATAACGTAACCAAATTACCATTTATAAAATACCATTATTGTTCTTTTATTTAACATTTGTATTATACGTATATTAATATTATATTAATATATTAAAATCCAGTCAAAGTTATAACAGACTGCGAACTTTTATGCAGCAGAATATATTCAAATATTCAACTTATGCGTAGGAAATATGCCATATCATGGAAGATATATGTCAATTAATGTAATAAAAAATACATATTATATTTATATTTACGCAATGTGAATCCTTTGTACCCATATTTAGTATCATAATTTGCGTTACAATAAATAACGATAGTTTTTTGAAACTTTTCTACCACAAATTGGTATCACTTATCTGAAAAAATTAGTTTATAGATTATAAAAAAAGAAATACACGTATTTGCAGAAATATACATATTTGAATTTGCTTCAGTATCATGCCGAGACCCCAAAATTTTGGAAACTTCCAATATTGTATCGTAACCAATATTTGTTTTCGAATATTTGTTAATAAAATTTATTTTTATTGCATTCTTTCTTACGTTTCTTAAAGAATTATGAATTCAATTTATTCCGAGCAGTTGTATTTGATATAAATTAATGAACTAATTATACGGTAGTTATTTTATGAAAGTATCATGGATCATAATAAATGTGAATCAAAGAAAGATATGTAACTATGTCGTTCGTGTAAACTATGTAAAACACATGTAATATGAAAGATATGCATCCCTGTAAAAGTTCACAGTCTAGTTATAACACTTACAGTTAGCACGTCCATTTTTTCTAATTCCGTCTTCAATCAAATGGAACTGTTTCCAACTTATAACGATTACCATTCCAGAATTCCAAAACTCTTAGAATCAAGCTGTTACAGTCTTTCTTCGCCTATCCTTTTTTTAAAATAATTTATCTTTAAGACGTTGTTACTAAGAATTAATCTACAGCGTAGGCTGAAAAAGTTACACACGAAAAAGTTAAATTTTTAAGCGAGTAAGAGAAGAACGAACGTCTCGTGGTACGTGTACCTGTTCACGGAGAAACTTTATCGTCGATACACAACGCACCAAGCGCTTAAACTGAATCATAGGATTTCTCCGCAGCTGGCTGTAACCGCGATAGAAAAGGAAGGCTGCAACGCGAAGGATTTTCGTGTGCCGAGAAAACACGCGGCGGCAGCGCCGCGTGAAATTCGCCCAGGCTTCGGCTCCGACCGAATTGTTTGAATTTTTGATCCGTGAAATTAAATCTCTCGTCAGTTTTGCTGCCGGGTTGCAACGACGTCGCATCCTCCACGACGAACAAAATCGCGTCACAACGCAAATGCGATACGTTGCGACAAATTAACTTTCCCTCGTTCACCCCTTTTCGTTCTATGCGACTATGCTGCGTTGAATTCGCAGCGTTTTCAGCTAAAAAATGCTGAAAATGATACAAAGAGAACGATAACAGTCGCACGTTCGGAGAAAGACGACGTATAGAGCGAAAATGACGCTTATTAAGGCGAAGTATTTGCGTCTGACAATTCGCGGAAATAAATTGTTTCCGTACACTTTCCGATCTTTCGATAATGAGGATAATTTTCGAGATCAAAATGGATAAGATTTTTTTATTGAAGAACTGGAACATGAAAATTGGATTTTCTCAATAAAGCTGTTTTGTGAAATTTTTTGTTCTTTGATTATTCTTTATCAAACTAAATAGATCGCGTCTGTAAATGGGAAACTAGGGAGCGGGGTTTAAATTCGGGATATCATTTGATTGTAAGTACGTACAGTTCTATCTTTTAAGAAGCTTATAAACACAAATAAGATTGTCGAAAAGGGGCGAATTACAAAGAAAATCCAGCGCACGAAATATTTCGCAAACTGAATTAAAAATAGCGTACCTTGCATCAAGATGAATTCAAACCAATTACAAATTAGCCGACAAGTTGCAATAAACTCAACAATTTCGTTCAAAGGATGTAAATCGGAAAACATGACTGAAAACCAGCAGATCGTGATGGAATTAACTCAAGTTAAAGTACAAAGTCAAAAGTATCAAGAAATTTGTCCAATTTACCAAGTCGCATTCACCGTGCTCAATTGCGGACGACACGAAGAGCGGTAATAAAGGAAAACCAATTAAGTTCCGCGAGACGGGAAAAATAAGGGAAGTGCGCCTTTCTCGAGGCTCGTGAAATTTCATGAATATTTCTTAGTGTTTCCTGGATATTCCACGTTCTACAATTACACACGACACCCTGTATACGCGTATACGTGTTATAACAAGATATGCGTTGGTGCTACATGAAGAAGTAAGCCGATAATATACATAGAATATATATAGAATAAAATAATAGAAAACATACAAAATAAAATTTGTTTATACAACTCTTTTTTTTGCTTGCGAACTTTATTGTGCGCGTATGAAACGATTCGAAGCGACTCAAACAGCACCTCTGTCTGTAACGTAACAATTTGGAATTTTTCTTGCCTGCGAAATTCCGCTTGTTCCGTGATCTTTTCAAGTTTCTTCCGCGAACTTCCAAAACGACCGCTATAACGGCGCTCGGCCGACAAGATTTCATTAAAAAATCTCGAAGGAAAGAAGATCCGGCGAGATAGAGTAGGAAGAAGCACTCCTTTATTCTCGTTTTATCCATATTTCGCGGTGCTCCTGTTGCTAGTCAAGCATCTTTAAAGTTACAGTAAGATTCAAAGCGTTACGTATTCCGTCCATAAACCTTCGCTAAGGCTGCAAGCAAGTGGAATTGGTCCGCTATTTGATTTCTAAAGTACGGGACGATCCTTTATCGATGACCATCGGCTAAATGAGACAAAGCTGCATTGTGCCCGTATACGTTCACGTACACGTGAATTTTTGTTTAAAATATTGCCATATTTCGTTGGGATCAAACAAGAAAGTTCACTGATTTTTCAGCTCAATTTATAGCTAACGAACGGACGTCCGCGTTATCCAAGATAGCCATGTAACTAGAGATACGCGACACGGTAGAAAAATAATTAAGCACGCGGTGACTGTATGGGAGAAAAGTATGCGGTAACATTTTCTCATACGTATCCTCGTTTCTGAGAAAATCGCGTTTGTAAACTTGCCAGGCACACTGCTGCTTAGAAGCGTTAAGATATTCACGAGAAGTAAAACAAATCTAAAATCATGAATAGATTTGCAAATATTTAAACAAATTCGTATTTTTATGAGACTAACTTAAAAAGATGGATTCTAAATTTGATATTAAATTTTATTAAAAATAGTACTTCGGATATTTTACACGTTTTAAATTTCCGAGAAATCTGCGGTCTAATAAACCGAAGGAATTTTATAATGACGACATAATGTTTTTGCTAAGAGGATAAGAAAACGTAGGACGCGGGTTGATCACATTTCTTCGTAGCATCCGAAGGTATATTTCAAATATTGATTTAAATAGTAGAGTTAAATAACAAACGGCACAAACTAATTGGACGATCTAATAGTTTTAATTAATTAATCATTAATTTGTATATTACAATATGTGTAGAAGTTTAGTATATATTAATTAGTATAGAAAATACATCAACGCAAATTGTGCCTAATATGTACATATGAGTTAGGTACGTGGCGAAATCAACGAAAAAGTCAAAGAGAAATTTCTGAAAAGGAAGTAATTCACTGGTTATAGGATTTAATCATCATTCATGAAAATACTTGTTTATTCTGTCGAAATATATTTTTATTTACTCGATCCAAAAGGAGGCAGAAAATGAGATCGTACGAAAACAACCAGAAACAACCAGACATTGCGTAATGAGTACTTTTGGAGATAGAGAGGAAAAAAATGATGTAACTCAATTTTGAGAAAGCGAATGAGCCCAAAGTGTGCAATCTGGTTTTGGAACAACAAGACCACGTTTTTCTCATTTTTGTGGGCTCGTTTCGCAGCATCAGGGAAAACCACACTCATCATCCTTCTTTAGAACAAGTAAATAACAAGGAAAAGAAATGAACCGAGAGAGAAACACAACCGTTCGTAATCTGGACCTTCTTATTCTCCGCATAGCTTATTTGCCGAGTGAAATTAAAATTTTTATTAAATCTCAACAGACTTGAAATACGCATATCTGACTACTTTTTGATAAAACCACTACCAGCAGAGATACTCTACCTTGGAGATAATTACAAAATTAAAAATGATATTAGTAACAAGAAAAATATGTACTATGTATTCAGAAGCTATCATATTTTAGGAAGCAGCTAATAGCGTTTTAAATTGAATTTTTTCACAATTTTAATGCTAAAATTCTCGTCGAAATTTCAGATTCTTGGTTTTTGCAGATATTAAAAATATTTATAATTAAATGTAATTATAATTACTAATGATTATATCATATTAATGTTGCCAACGTTAATTTCAACGTTAAGATATATTTATCATTAGCAAATGAAGATATAATTGTATATGAACTATCACACGTGACTCATAGGATAGTTAGAGTTAATATATTTAGGGCAAGCAGAAATGGACGTTGTAATTACAAAATGAAGTTAATACTTACTAACAGTATGAATTATAGGAACAAATAATTTATAGAGTAGAATTCCGATAATTTGGCATGCTCGAGATTTCAATAGTTCCAGATTTGTTGACCATACCTGTAATACCTGTAAAAAAGAAAACAATAACTTTTAAAAAATGATAAACAGACGACATATTTTGTGATAATTGAATGATAAATGAAAACTCTGTTACTATGTAGAAATAATAGTGTTTCCTAAAAACTTCATTAGCAAGGTACATACAAATGATTGTGGTTCTCTGATGGAGTAACCAGAGATTCAGCTACACATCATCCTACGCGAGACATAAATAAATATTTCCTTTGTATCATTCAGTCTCAATATGCCGTCAATATCTTATCGTAAACGCGTGTGTATTCTCCTGATATATGAAACACAAAGACTCTGACATTATTTTTTCCTTCGGTGTTTTCTCGCAGGATCCATAAACTAGCATAAGCAGAGCACGAAGGGAGGAAAACCATTACCCCTAATGTAGAAACTGGGTCAGAAGATGAAGGAACGTGATATCTTTAGCGAGATCGAAAATTAAATTACTGGAATCTCGGAGATAGATAATTCGTCACAAAAAATTTAGTAATGCTTTGTAACTATAGACTACGAACGTTGCGTTCATGAGAAATTTAAAGCTGCGAAAACGTACAGAGTGTTATATTTCACGAATAGACTGCGGATTTTTGCGCATCTGTGAAAATTTAAAAAATGCAGATAAACACAGAATTCGCGCAATACCTATGCAGGAATATATAAAAGATGGAAAGTTATAATGTTTGTTAAAAATACTTGTTATAATATCTAGTGGCCGCAATAAATCTCTCAAGTTGTATTTCTTTAGTTTGTACTTATAGAAATATGAATTCGCATAAAAATCCGCGGTTTATTCACGAGTATTCAAACACTGTTGTGAGTCAGTATACGGTTGCTGTAAATTGACCAAAGTATTTGACCGTATGCCCTATTTTATGGTACTTAATTTGAACTGCTGAAAGGAAAATCCCAGGACACGTAATTAATCCTGTTACGGTCTTTTCTATGTCACGATTTTACTCCTTTTAACAAGTTACAAGGTTTGTAACAAGGTTTCAAGAAAAACGTTAACATACACTTAAGACCGGAACTCGTGCATATCAACGACGATTCTTTTATACTTTCTTCAAGCATAAGAAACTTGTTAACGATATAAAAAATGCGATTAAATCTAGAATGTTTCAAAGAACGCAGCAATTTATTATAGCATTAAACTAACAAGATTAAATATTTGTGAGAATAAAACGCGACTACAAGTTTAGTGATTGCAAATATGTACGCATAAAATACGAAGTTCTATGGGTATATCACACTGAAGCTTCCAGACAACTAATTATACATTCTGAATACCTTCTTCCGCAACTCTAAGTCCTATTCATTCTCATTCATCGACGCTATCCGATCCGAAACTTCTGCCGATGGAAACTGCACTATTTTCTGAACAACGCTCGAACGTCACGCCTATCGAAATTGTAGCTACGTTAAATTTCACGGAAAAATTGGGAAAAATGTTTGAATACTAGCTATCGTATAAACGAAACAAAGTGTAATCGGATAGAATTTGCTTTGTAGTTGCAAAACGTGATGAAGCTCGCATCAACGAACGTGATGAAGCTCACATCACGAACGCGTGTTCCAATTACGATGCCTATTCGACAATCGGTGGAAGTCTACACGAGATAAACGTAATTCGATTTGTCATGAATAAAAAGAAGAAAGGGGGCAGATTAAAGCAAAGAAAAACTTCGATGGTTTCCTGTTTTATGAAATACTGGGTTAGTTGCAATCAGCGTATTCGATAAGACAACACGAGAATGCTACTTAGACCATAGAGAACGTGTAACCAACTGCGAAAATCGAGTCTCTGCCGGCAAAAGCCCAATAAATATTGCACGATTCCATGACCTACCGCAATGTGGTTGAGCATGCCAGCCACGCAATCGGTAAAGCCAGCATTTTTATTAACTTTTCGAACAGCGAGCACGAACGAACTTCGATACACGAATATATACGCTTGTTCTTTTATTTTTTTTTTTTTCATTAAATTTATTAGATGTAAACCTTTTTTATTCATTTCTGCTTCGAATCCCGAATGATTCTAAAATCTTTGCCAAATTTTTTCTCTGCGGATTTAAGATATTTTTGAATGTTATTTATTTGAGTGGTTTAGATTACAACAATAGTTAAAGTATAATCTGCAGCATGCTATTGTACGGTGTACTAAGCGTGTTTCGCGATTGAGGCAAATCATAAAAAAGAAAATTTCAATATTCTTCATTCTTTTAAATTTTACAATCATATATTTTTCTATACACCGGTCGACACAGATTTTTATCCTCTAATAGTTCTTAAACATTTTAATAACCTGCCAACGATTTCTCAAATTTACTGCTTAAGTTTCTTTAAATGTTCCAATACTTACGAACAGAGTTATATAGCATTCGATAGTAATAGCTAGCAAGTTGACTGAGACATTTCTAAAAGAGCCAAGGAAGTTGACTAAGAATTTCAATAACGAAGGAACTGAAAATTGACATTCAGACGTTTCTCAAAGTAACATGGTTGATGACGCTTTCGCGAAAATCCCCTGTCGACCTTCGGTCCAGCAAATACTCCCGATATCGAAAGGTTTCCAGCGGATTTACCACGATTTCTCGAATCGTAAATCATCCTCAATTCACCGATGCTTTCCATACCGTGGGATTCGTAACTCTCTGCTACTGGCAAACATTCTCTTTTGATTAGAACACGCGACACGAATCGAAACGACTCGAGTCGGATATAACATCGTTTGTGACGCAGCGCGTCCGCGAAATGAGTTTGGAAGTTGCCATGATTTCTCTTTCGAGGCGGTGATTCCTCGAGACCTGTCGGCTTTTCTACCTTCTCATCGATTCTGCTCGAATTTACATTAGCTACAAAAAATATTGACACGACATTTATATGCCAGTTAGTTACGTCCAAGTATATTAATTTTCGTATCATCTAGCGGTAATCTCGTATCGTTAAAAAATGTTATACCATGAAGACGGAAGGTAGACTCTAATAAAAAGGAACTTCACTAGAAGATAAGAGTGTATGAATGATGTTGGACAATTAATTCGTAGAAAAATATTCTTCGTTCTTCCTTATTCGAATGTGATAATTGGAGGGGAAATATTAATCATAGGATTAGATCGAAGAGAAGCTCTTTTCGAGTTATACCTCTTAGGAAATACTTTGTTAATTTGAAAATCCAATTTCAAACTTGATACCATATATAGGTTTTCTCAAAGATGAAATAAAAATATGTGACCTGTGTTATATCTCCTTTGACTTTTATTTAGGAGAATTTATGCTGCTGAATACATCACTTTAACGTTTAGAAGGAAGAAAAGGAGAAGAAATTTAGTGGGAAGAAATTATAATATATGGAGGTGTGAAAATTACTAGACTGAAGCTATAGAAAGGGCAGGTTCTTTATAAAGAAAAGGTTTGAAATTTATGGCCATTTGAAGTTTGGTGTTTTAGAACGTTGAGATTATTTTTCTAGGTAATAAATTGTTCGCTCCCTTAGAATAGAATCAGTAATCGTAGGAAACTTCTTCGATTAAAACGATTACTGCACTACTCGTGAAACTTTGAAACTGGGTTAGAAAGCGACGACACTGTTTACGTTGTAACAAAAAGCAAGTACGCTTAATGGATATAGAAAAAAAGATTACAAATAATTACTTTAAATGTTCGAGATAACAATGGTAGATAAGTCGTTTAAAATTCTTCCAATATAATTTTGATAGTTGGATGTCATTATAGTAGTAGCGAAATTTCAAATTGTTTCGAATGACACGCGTAGTATGTTTGTAAAAGATGTGGATAAGTGTGCGAATACTTTCGTGAAATCAAGTAAGATTCGAGACTGTCGTATTCTTCTCATTATTCGTATCTTGCACTTGACGACCGTCTTTTTTAAGAGTCGCTCGAAAGAGCAACGATAAGACAAGCTGAATACACTCCTTTGGAGGTGCGCTAAGGAAAATGCAAAAGAGAAAAATTTATAGAGAAGAGCATCTTCGCCATAGACGAGAATACAAATCTCGAAACTTCTTTTCACTCTTGACGGTGCACCTCTCAAGTTATTATAATCTCTCGGCACAATATTCATTCGAGTCGTTTCTTCTTTTCATTCTTCCGACTAACCTCGTTACGCGGCCAAGGCCTCGTCTCTTCTCGTCGCAACAAAACGCTCCGCCACGCTGTACCGGTTATAATGGTCTCCCTGTCCTTCCTTGTACTTTAAGGAAAAGAGCAAGAAGAAACTGTTATCGCATTTACAATTCAACGTCTTAAGCGGTGGATCATAATGTATCAGGTCGATCGACTTGTTTTAACCGGGCGCAAAACTTTTAAAACACAATTACTTGAAGTAATAAGTATTACACTTCAAGTACATGCTATATGCTGTATGCTATTATATTTCTATATCCATACACTGAACAATTTTTAGCAACAATGTATGCCATAGGAAGATTCCACCGTAATATAAAATCTCGAACAGAACGATACATTGTTCGTCGAAAATGAGTGTCCCAAAACAACCTGTAGAATTCTTCTAAACCCATCTGATCCGCTAAATTACACGTGATTGTAAGTATAAATCAAGCGGACCACTAAATTAGAGCGGCCAGGAGTCCATCGATCATGGGGACGAATTAATCTTGCCATTACTGGCATTGGCCGCGGGCACAATACAGTTCACAAATTCGTTCGTCGGTTGCTATAGAGGAGCATCACTCGAAACGTCATCGAGAGTCGCGCGATGGCAGGACAGATTTTTTACGACGAGTGCTCGCGAAGCACGCTCGTAACCAGAAGCTCGGTGTCGCGCGCGCCCGTTCGTCTGATTGAAAATCCAACATGCCATTGTACCGTTCCCGGGGACATTACGCGACGATTTCAATGTTCCGCCGGTGATTTTCGCGGCGACATTAACCGGCGTAAAATGCGTTACGCTGTTAACACGGCCACGGGATGAATCAACCGGCGTCAAACGCAGATCGTACAAGTATGCCAAACAC